CTGAGCATGCGCAGTGTCATTACCTCTGAGCATTGCCTGTCCGTCTTTTATCCCATCTTGGATTAGTTTTTCTACATAAAACACTGGTCAGGTAGCATTTACTCTGCTCTGCATTATAGCTCTACTTCTTAGCATTCTATAAGAGCCTGATATGGCTGACTACTTAAAACACTTGGTTATGGATTGCATCTGTCTAATTATTTCATCAAAACCCTATGACTGATTATTTTATTAGTTCTCTGGGTTTTGGCAGCCTCTGCTGTTCAGGACCATTGAGGTTCCAGGCAGATTTGCATGACGGGATTTATGTGACCCTCATGCTCAGGATGCTGCTCTTCCTCATCTGCAGAAGGCTCTCATGAATCTTTTGTGCCCTACTCTTCTAGGTTTAGTCTGATTTGAGCAAATTCTTTGGCTGTTCTTCATGTTCATTCTATTTTCTCTCAACAGATGTGCCAATAGTATCAATTATTTCTGTGAAGGCTCTTAACTCTATGTCATCAACTCATCAGTGACAGACCTTCTATTTTATTCTCCAGAAGCCTTTGTAGGACACTTGTATAGAGAGTGAATGTGGAACTGGTCTTCTTAAGGAACCCTGGAGAGCTAGGGAGGCAGTGGAGCGGTTCTAAAGTCTCTGCTTTGGGTAAACAGATATGCTTTGAGAGACAATGCCCTTATCTATTTGGAGGATTTTCTTACTTTCTTTCCTCCTTGCTCCCTGATCTCATAATAGATGAGATAAAACATATCCTCTTGAGCTTTAAAGAAGACAGGACTTGCTGATCAAATGTGCTTCAGTGTCCCTAGAATCATCTTATTATGGCTTCAACTCAACCCTGTATGAGTATCACCAACTCTTGGGTCTTCCACTGTCCCCACTGTTGACCAATTTCCTCTCCTGCAGAATCCTGAAAGAAGTGCAGAAAATGCCCAGTTTCCTTAGGGCACAGCACTAAATAGACACAGAACAACTGCCCTGTTTCTAATGAGCTTCTTTTAATTTATTCCAATTTCTATCTCATTAAAAGGGTAGTCTTCTTGGCTCTAGGCAGGCCTCACAGCATACCTCCAGCTAATCAATGTTACTTGTATAAGTGAAGTAAGTGATGTAAAAAGCACTGATGCATTTTCATGACTGAAATTTGATATATGCAGAGACTTGTCAATTGATTCTGAACCCAAAATCTAAACATCCATCTCCTATAATTCTTGTCAAGTTACTTCAGGAATTTTTCACTTTCACATTTGGAGGCAGATTTTCCTTAAGTGCCATTATTTCCAAGTACTGATAAAATTTTACATAAGTCTTACCAATGCACAGTTTTATATCATATATAACACATACTCACACTTTCTTTCATATCCCTTTAACAAAGATTAGGAAAAAGTAATATCATAATGAAAGGCATAATGTACACATAGTTCTGACAGGGTAAAGATCAAGCAGTGACTATATTTAGGAAACAAATCTACTAAAATGTTACATGGGGGGAGAAATAACTTAAAGTATTTTAGATAGTATGCAGTACTTAATTTCAGTTAACCCTTAGTATACACTGAAATGTTGAATGAGAATTTAACCCATTTACTCTATGAAATGTCAAAGCTGAAGCAGGAGATAATGAAATCTTCCTGTAATTCAGATCCTACTGCACCCTCATTATCAAGGAAGACAACCAAGCAATCAATCAACCTAATCACAAACATGCAAACTCAGTGGATAATCCTTTTGCTTGAAAAATCATTCATATTAAAAAGATGGAGAAGGTGAAGTGGATTTCCCCTTTTATAAAACATTCTTAGATAGTTCTGGAGATGTTCAGTGGGTAAAGCACTTCCCCTGAAATTGTGATGACCTGAGCTCAAATCACTATTACCCACATTGATGCTGGTTGGTGGCCTGCCTGCATACCCAGCCCTTGGGAGTCCCTGGGAAAAGATGGATACCTAGACTAGCTCAATAGCTAGGTTCTTGTTTCAACTGAAACTGACAGGGAATGGGAGTCATAGTGGTTGGCATAACCAGAGAATGATAGCTAGGAGCCAGGCCAACTGTCAAAAACAGCCTCGTGAAGAGCATGAGACCAAGGGGTGATGCTCATATGCCAGCAGATCCAAGCACGGGAAACCACAGGTCTTACTGTCATCTAGATTAGCCTTCCTGAAGCACCAGGCTCACAGCATTCTCCGGGCACCAGAAGTGTTTCATGTTGACGGCTGACTCAGGGGACCCTTCACTTTGCCACAGACCAGCTTACCACCTCCCATAAGAAAAATGGAGGAAAGGTAAGAGGCTTTTGGAAACCCTTTCCCCAAAGTTTTTGTCTTTTTTCTTAGTCTGTCACCATATAACTACACCTTGAGGTGGAGAATCCAAGGAGTCTCAGGTGTTCCTAAAGACACAGGAAGTACAAAAATCATTCTTTAGCAGTGTGGACAGGCAGACTTGACTTTGGGAGATTAGAATCCTGTAAATCACTTCTTGTAATTTCTCCTCATTCTGCTCTCTTCTAAATTATGCGAATCTTCTGTTATTGTGAGAATCCTGCCACTTTCCTTGACATGGCATATATATGGGTACAGGCTCTGTCTCTGAAAGTACAGTTCTGTCAGAAACTCAATCACCTGTGTTTCCTGCAATGGAAAGATTCCATCCCTTTGTATTTCTCTCAGTAGGAAAAAGATGCTTTAAAAATGAGTAACTGACAAGAGCAGAGTTGGATGTAAAATATCAGTAATGTACATATTCAGGGAATGTTACACATGATGTTAAACCCAACTCCAATCCAAGAAGACCTCATGGAGTGTGGAGATGTATCAAGAGTAATAGTTATCTGAACCAAGAGCTGGGTGTTACTGTGGATATAGTTTATAGTTGTGTTGCCCCAGACAAGCAACTGATTTTATTCATTGATTAATTTTGTTATTTGATAATTTGATTTCTGTATTCAATGTGTGCTGATTACCCTCTCTCCCCCTTACATCCATCTCATCCTTTTCAACTTCCTCCTGCATCCCTGCTAGACCCTTTCCCAGTTCATCACTTTTTGTTTTGTTTATAATATAGCAACAGACAAAAGAAAAGTGCTTGATGTTTCATCCCAGGAAGGGTGTACAGCTTGCTTGGCAGTTGTTTGCTCTAAGGGTGTAGAGTACACCTTTCCATGGTCTCCCAGCTTTAGAAATCTGTTTTTCTGACAGGTTTCATTTTGCAAGTAAAGTGCCAAATGACCCTTCAGTCTTTAACACCAGCATTCTTCATGTATCATATACCCTTGACACTTGTCACTATAGTTTGTTGTGTATGTGTTCATTTCTTGTCATGTCCATTTGGAACTCCTCTGTTTAAATATCCATATCCTCCTGTAGATCAAGGAAAATCCATGTTCTATTTCATGGAATTTCCTTTCTGTGCTTTAGACTGCATCTCACTCCTATCATTTGAACATAGGATTCATAGGTTAGGTCTCCAAATTGAGTCCCACATTTCTTGTATTTTTCTCCTTTTTCTTGTTTGTTTTCTCTCACAGCCCAGGCTTTTTTGGACTCACTATGTAGCTCATACTGTTTTTGAATTCATGGAATTCTTTGTGACTTAGCCTCTAGAGTACTGGTATTCCACGTGTAAGCTAACCTGGCAGGTAGAGGAGTTTCTATCACCCTCCTAGAGACTGTTTCTCTCTTCAAGCCCTGTAGATGATTCTGTGTCACAATACCCTCTATTTAGCACAGTTTCCACTTCTTTTCTTCTCTCTCTGTTTCCCCAGATTAATTTTTTGCCTCCTAAAGAGTGCTAGAAATTCAATTCATCTCAAAATCCTATGCCTATATCTTCAAGGTCTGTGGTTCTCAGCCTTTCTAATGCTCTTACCCTTTAATACAGTTCCTCATGTTGTAGTGACCCCCCAATCATAAAATTATTTTTGTTGATACTTCATAATTGTAAGTGCCACTGTTATGAAATGTAATGTAAATATCTGATATGCAGGTATATTTTCATTGTTACAAATTTACCCCAAAAGGTCACAATCCACAGGTTGAGAACCACTCTCTAGGTTCTCATTACAGCTAACCATTGGACATTCCCAGGTTGGAGAATGACAAGAGCCATCGTTAACCATCTCTGCACCATATGCCATTCTTTCAAGCATACTAGAGTTTCCCAATGGCAAATTCATTTTCCATGCATTTTGTGTATTCAATTTGCTCTAAAGCATTTTCATCTACTGTTGGGTTTATGATTCATTTATTTAGTTGTTTAATGAAAATTTCCATATGCTCACTGTGTGCTTACAGAGAGATGGACACTTGTGATATAGCAACAGACAACAGAAAAGTGCTTAATGTCCTCAAAGGCTTTCCTGCTTTCTAGTTTCCAATATGAAATAGAGACTGAGTCACATTAGCTTGTAGGTCTGGTTCTTTTCATACTGGTCTTAGTAGGACTTGGCATTCCATTTATGACTCATTTATGATTTATATATTTTCTCAGTTGATATCCTCCCCGTGCCATGACTTTGAGCAGCGGTTGTTCATGATTCTGGCTTCCAAGTCCCTGAACCGAAGAAGAACTAGCATAATGACAGAAAGAAAGTTTGGTTCAGAGTTCTATTCTTTCTGACACAACCCAAGACACTGAGTATCTATATTGGGGCCATCAACTATTCTCATATCAGTATAGAACTTGCTTTGTAAATAGCCAAGAGAAATAGGAACTAAATTTAAATTAAAGCTCTCTATATTGGTTTTGGTAAATTACTGTCTCTACAATTCTGTTTCCTTCTCTTTATGATACAGGTCAGTCATTCACACAGAGCAAGATGTACTGAGAATCAAAGATTATAAACATGTGCTCATAACTTCTTTTTCTTTCCAGTTATAGCATTGGAGAGCTCCTAAGAGTGGATTCAGATATTCCAGACTGGAGCACTAACGTCACAGCAGTGAATGGAAGAAACCACACTGGAATTTCATTTTGTGACATTGTGTTCTGTACCATGATTTTCCTTTCTCTCATCACTGGCCTGGTTGGCTTGGTAGGAAATGCCATAGTGCTGCGGTTTCTGGGCTTCCACATGCACAGGAATGCCTTCTCTGTCTACATCCTCAACCTGGCTGGGGCTGACTTCCTCTTCATGTACTTTCAAATTGTACACTCTCTTCTTTTTATCTTGGAAATCTTCTATTACATCCCCACAGGCATCTATACATTTTCTTTTGTTGTGTCAAATTTTGCTTATCTTTGTGGCCTGAACATCCTCAGTGCCATTAGCATTGAAAGGTGCCTGTCTGTCATGTGGCCCATCTGGTATCGCTGCCATCGCCCAAGGCACACATCAGCTGTCATATGTACCCTTGTTTGGTTTTTATCACTGCTGTTGAGTCTCCTGGACTGGACGGCATGTGGTTACCTATCTGGCAGTCTTGGCTTTGGTTGGTGTCAGACACTTCATTACATCACTACTGCATGGTTAATTGTTTTGTTTGTGGTTCTCTTGGGGTCCAGTCTGGCCTTAATGGTTACTATCTTTTGTGGCTCACGCAGGATTCCTGTGACTAGGCTGTATGTGACCATTGTGTGCACAGTGCTGGTCTTCCTGTTCTTTGGACTGCCCTTTGGGATCTACTATTTCCTCTTATCATGGATTGAGAATTTTGATGATTTTTTGTCTTGTTATTTTCTTCCATTGACAAGAATTCTGTCCTGTTTTAATAGCTGTGCTAATCCCATCATTTACTTCCTTGTTGGCTCTATCAGGCATCGTAGGTTCCAGAGGAACACTCTCAAGCTCCTTCTGCAGAGAGCCATGCAGGACACTCCTGAGGAGGAATAATGTGGAGAGGGGGGTTCTTCAGGAATATCTATCTAGAGAAGTGAAAACAGTTTGGCAGCAACTTGAGAACACCTTTGAACATTCAGAAATAGCTTTGAGAAACAACTTTGTCCTTATTAGTTTGTGGCATTTTCATAACAATGACCTGAGGCTAAATCAGTTGGGAAAGTAGTCAATCTTGCAGAAGTTGATTGATACTGGACTTGTTATACAAATACAGACTGCGGTATTTCTGGAGATGTCTTGCTCAGTGTTTCATCAACTTTTTTTGATGGAACCCCTTGGAAGCTCTCTGGGGTCCTGGAGAGCTGCTGATCACTATTGACAAATCCTTCCAGGAGCAACAAGGTCAAGGAAATGGAGTAAAGAGTTGCATTTCTTTTGTCACTAAACTTGACAGTAGTTGAAACCATGTTATATTTTACAAATATTTCCTTTTGTAAAAACAATCTTTTTCTCAATGTTTGAAGTGTCAAATATCATTTATATTTATAATATAATCTTGTTATATTATAAAATCTTATAATTCAGTCCTTATTATTTTTTTGTAGATTTCAGAGATTTTATGGAGGATTGTCTTTCTTATATAAATTTCTAAGTTAACAAATATACATTCTCAAGAGAAGTCAGTGTTAAACCTCTATTCACCAAGTGAAGTTCTTACCTTCAAGTTCACTGTGTCTTCCACTTTCAGCATAGGATGAGTGCAGCCAAGTTTTGTAATGAGATCCGTCAACATCCATGTACACTTGAAGGAGGAGAGAGACTGTCCTTCACTGGTTACTTCCACAATGACTTGCTTAGCATTCCATGGTCAAGATTTTTCTCTTTCCTCTCTTGTCTTTGCCATGATTCCCCCTCTTTCTGCCCATATAATCTCTCATGACAAATTTTCCCTGAGGTTCCTATTAGCATAATGGGGTTTCTTTGAAATCAAACCTGTTTCAGATTTCAGTCATTCCCAAGAGATCACAGTATTTATTACTTGAATTATACTTATTTTAGTAAAATTTTTTTATAAAATTTTATTTTAATTCTAAATATGAAATATGTGATAATTTTAATTGAAATGTATTAAGAGAGCACAATATGCACAGATCAAAGGAATCAAATAAGCTTTTTTTTTCTATTTTTTTCAAGACAAGATTTCTCCATGTAACAGCATTGGCTGTCCTGGAAATCATTTTGTAGACCAGGCTGGCTTTGAACTCACAGAGATCCACAGTCTCTGCCTCTTAATTGCTGGATTAAAAGCATGCACCACCATTGCCTGGCCAACAAACTTTCACAAGTTCTGGTGACTACAGGACCCAGAACCCAATCAAGACACAAAACACTCTTCTAATTTGCACTTTCCCTCCAGTCAAAACTTTTTGCTTCAGAGGTCAGTGCTGTCCATATTTCTGTTCTAAACTAAAACTTAAAGTGCAAATTGAAAGAGTGCAACATAATGCTTGATATACATGTGGTTGTTATAGTTAAACACACTAACACATAATTATCACATTTAAATATTCATTTTTTCCCCTGTGACCAATACTTCATACTTAGAAAAACTCCTGAGTACAGTTTACTGTTATTACAGTGAGATCCCATGCTCTTGTGGTTTGAATGAGAATGGTTGCCATAGGCTCATATATTTGAATGTTTACCACTAATTGGTGGGAATATTTGGGCAGGATTAGGAGGTGAGGCTTTGTTAGAGGCATGGCACTAGGGGTTGTCTTTAGGATTTCAAATACCTGGCCCATTTCCAGCTCCACCCCACATATCTTTGGATTAGATGTTGGCTGTCAGCTACTGCTCCAAAGCTATGCCTACTTTTATGCTGCCATGCTTCCTGCCATAGTGGTCATGCTCTCCAACCCTCTGGAACTGTGATCTCCCAAATTAAATTCTTCCTTTTATAAATTGCCTTGGTCGTTGTTTCTCATTACAGCAATAGAAATGTAACTAAAACAGAAGTTGGTACCAATGAGTGTGCTATTGCTGTAAAAGAACTGCCCATGCTGCTTTTTCAAGGAATGCTGAGGTCTATGTATGGGTCTTTGAACTAGGGAAGCAGTTGAATGTTGTAAGTGAGGTTTAACAGACCATTCTAGTAGGAACTTGGGCGATAGTAATGCTGAGAGCATTGTAGACTGTGGTGGTCCAGCTCAACAGGGGAACACTATCAGCATCTATGCTAGAGACCATTCTTGTGATACTTTGCAAAGAATGTGGTTGCTATTTCCTCTTGTCATGAGTATCTGCCTGAGGCTAAATGGAAGAGTTCGGTACTACTTTTGTTGGCAAAGGACATTAGGTTTACAATGAAAAAGAGAAAGCAGGGCAAAAAAAGAAATTTAAAATGTACAATTGAAGAAAAAAAGATATCAGGGAATTAAATGTTGGAACTAAGTCTTTTGCTCAGAGAGATAGTAGTTTAAAGAAAGGCCTGATGTGCAATGGAATAAAGGGAGTGCTGCTCTCAGCGTAGGAACTAATCCAGCTAAAATTCCTACTAGAAAAAAGCAAGTGCCTAAAGACTTTCCTAAAAGAAAGGAAAACTTATTAATCAAAAGAGAGCAACAAATTTAAGGTTATGTAAATGTCATTGAAGGAAAAGTTCAAGTTTCATTCTAAGCAGAATATAGAACTTGGTAGCATCAGCCATGTGGTTCTGGTCTTTGAGTCAAGAAGGATTCAGGAGTAAAGTGGTCATGGAATTTTTTTTCATGGTTAAGGAAAGCCACTGAGACCATGTATGTGGCAGGGGAATCTCTGCATGGAGGCCTGGAGAGGACATTGTGTGAAGCTGTGAAAGTGAAGCCTAGATTTAGCTGGAGATGTCTGAGCTGCCAGAACTTTGGGGTACCTGCCAAGGAGAGCTGCATAGAGTGAGTGGAACCAGTCCAAGAGAGAGATGTGTACTGCAGTCATCAAAGCTGAAAGGACAGCGCCATCTCAGTCTTCTGACATCAAGATGTGGAGCTACAGGATTTGTAGTTTACCCTGCTGAATTTTGATTTTGCTTTTGCCCAGTATTTCTTGCCTATGCTCCCATATCTCCCTTCTGTATAATAATATATGCTCTCTGCCTTGTATGTTGGAATATATAATAGATTTTTGATTTGACAAAGGGTATATATACAATAAAGAAATTGCCTTGAGTCTCAGAAGAGATTTTGGACTTGTAAACAGTGTTGGGATTGTGAAAGACTACAAGGACTTTTCAAGTTAAGCTTAATGCATTTTCCAAATAAGTAAATAATGAATCTCAAGGAGCTAAAAAAAAAGATAGAAAACCAACATCAAAACTACTAGAAAAGAATAAGTTATAAAGATCAGAGAAGACATCAATGAAGTAAAGATTCAAACAAAATAGTGACAAATAAAACAAAGAACTACATCTTTAAAAAAGAACTAGTGACCTTGTGGCATATGGTAGCTTATCTGACTCTATATTAAAAAGGGAAACTGAATTGAAAGGCTTTCATCTAGACTAACTTACAAAAAGAGATGTAACACTCAAATGCATAGTATCATTTGTGAAATAGACTTCAGGGGTGATATTACTGAAATGGAAAGGAGTATTAGAAATTCTTATGAGCATATAGATAATAAAAGCTTGATAGCACAATAGAAATGGACAGACCTGGAGATGTATACATCACTGCTCACCATGATAAATTCATGAAGACACAAATTAGTGATGAGACTGGAGATGTGACTCAGCATTAAAATCATACACTACTCTTGCAGAGGACTAGAGTAGGTTTCAGCATCCATGCCAGGTATCTCACAGTCACCTTTAACTCCAGTTCTGGAAGGATCCCAAGCTTCTGGCTTCCATGAATGTGGGAGCCCGTTCTCAGGTTCCTCGTGGCTTTACCCAGCAGGTCCGCATAGAGGATGATTAGGACCACGGGCCTGAGTGCAGGTGTCTGAGATGGTCTGCACTTGGCTGTGCTGGGGGAGGAGGTCTTTTGCTCCACCCCTTGGCGTCTCTATAAAAACCCTGGGGCAGAGACAGTCGGGGCCCGTTGGAATAGGTTCCAGGTCCTCTCGAGGCTATCCTTTATTTTCTGTTTTTTTTTTTTTTTTTTTTTTTTTTTTTTTTTTTTTTTTCCGAGACAGGGTTTCTCTGTGTAGCTTTGCGCCTTTTCCTGGAACTCACTTGGTAGCCCAGGCTGGCCTCGAACTCACAGAGATCCGCCTGGCTCTGCCTCCCGAGTGCTGGGATTAAAGGCGTGCGCCACCACCGCCCGGCCAATCCTTTATTTTCTATCTGTTTATCTCCGAGATATTCTCCGCAATAAATCCTTCTATCTAATATTTCCTGCTGCTCACACTCAAGAAAATTCTGGGGAACTGTGGGGGTGGTTGGGTAAACGCCCCACAGAATGGCGCCCGAACAGGGACTAAAGAAAAAAGAAAAAAAAAGGGGACTAAAGAAAAAAAAAAGGGGACTAAAGACAAATGAACAGGGACTAAAGACAAAGTAATAGGGACTAAAGATAAAGGAAAATAATAGTTTTATTACAGAGTTTTTGGCGAAAGTGCTGAGTTCAGCCCTGCCAGTGGAAAGGCATGCCGGTGTTATGGAAAATATATATTTTATATATATATATATATATTATTGAGAGGCAGGGGTTTTATCCTCGAGAGAAAAATGCTGCAGCGAAATTCTCTTCTGTCAAAATTTTCTATCTTCTATCCCTTTCTCAATTTCTATCTGTGAAAAATAAGTATAAGGCATAGGGTAGTAATATAGTATAGGAAAAACTTAGAAGTGTAAGATTGTGTAGAAAAAAAGGCAACTAGACAGAAAAACTCTTCAATTTTCTAAATTTGGGGGCTGTGAATGCAAACTGGGGGAAAACTTTCTTTGGGCTTTACGGGTAGTATAAAAGCTCTTCTCTGAGCTTATGGGGAAGAAAAAGTTTCCTATGGAAGCTTTTGACCTGGGGACAGCTGAAATGATAAGTCCAAGCGGCAGGAGAACGTGATTTCTCCCT